TATCTGACTGTTAAAAGTTGTGGATATTATGTATCCAGAGACAGGTCTGGATAGAGTTGCTAAAAGAAGGATAGCTTGTCATTCCTACGGGTATCAGTGACCCTGAAAATATGTTTTCAGATAGTTCTGGAAAACGTGGAAATAGATCAGGACAGTTCTGGAAAACAAAGTTAAGAAAGCCAGGCTGGGGAAAGTCAAGACAAGCTAGCGACACCAAAGTTCAACACTAATGCTGGGATGAAAAAGCAATGGTTTAGTGGGCTCTTTAGTGCAGCAGTTTTCAAAAAATAGACTATTTTTATCACAGAAATAACAAGCTCTCAGGTTTCTGGGAGACTGAAAGATCAATATTCCAATGGCAATAAAAGAAAGGGGAATTCTAGTATACCAATGGCAGGCAGGCAGGCAGGAACGAAAAACTGATCTGTCAAAAATAAAAGATAAATAGCTGATTGGCTGTTACAATACAAGAAGAACAGAGAAAGAAGGGAAAGGAAGAGCCCGGAGGCCAGCCTTTGCCTGTCGGTTGGTTGGTTTTCCTAAAAGTAAAAAATGCCAGGTGGGGATGGAACAGCAGGGAGCCACCTTGAACCCTCCTCCTTGCTGCCTTGAACCATCCTCCCCTCACACACAATAAACTATGTGAAAGCAGCAGCACTGCCATATTGCTAAGGCCTGGTCAAGGTACTCCTGTAGGAGCAGTACATTTTATATCAGCATATTTTCCTCCCAACTGAAAGATATAAAGAAAGAACATTAATGCAGCTGTGAGGAATAAAGGCACCAACATTTTATGAGAAGGGATAGAAATTGCCTAGATGTTTGGATAGCTCAATTCAAGTATGAGAGCCATCAGGGTACTAAAGAACCATTATAAAAAGGAGGCAGAGAACAACCTCACAGAAACACCTTTCTAATTAGTAACAGATTAGTGTTAAGGAACTTGAGGAAATATTAGAAAGTGAAAGGAAGAGCATATAAAGGTTAAAGTACCTGAGATGGAAGATACAATGAACAGAATAAGTTATGTAAAGAATTCATGAAAAGGATAATTTAAGCTACTATTTTAGAAAAGGCAAACATTAGAATACAAGGTGTAATACAACTAAGATTTGGTTGCTGCTCCTAAACCTTAACTTGGGATGGGTATGTGGAAAGTTGGATGTAGGAAAAGCAATGCACTTTAGTACCTTTTCCTAACTTCATGTCCTTGATTATTTGTGAAATGACCTACTGATATGCATCTAAGGCCTACTTGGAGAAGGCAGAGTGTCAATGTAATGATATGCACCTGCTTCATTAGTGAATACCCTCTAATTAAATTACCTCTACTAATTAAAGTAGCTATTCAGCTACTAAGTAATTCTGTAGATATGTAAAATTGTGTCCAATAAATAAAATGGGAAATGTCATTAGATTGTTCTTCATGTATATTATTTGACCAGCACTGATGAAGATCCATTGAGAATGCACATTTTATGTGAGGAAAAGAGGTTTGGAGGTATAAAATTCTCACTTGAAACTTGAAATAGGCAAAATTAAGAAGGTCTTTGTAGCCATCTGCTTTTTGGAGAGTAGAAAGATTGGTAAAAGTTTTAATATTTATTCTTAAGCAAAAACTGTGTGTCATCAAAGAAAACAGACAATAAAAATAATATTTCTCACAATATACTCTCATCATTCTTGCAGTTGTTCCAGAGCTAAAACTTCTTTGCGGAGCTGATGTTTTGAAGACATTTCAAACACCTAACCTCTGGAAAACAGAACATATTATAGAAATAGTGGAAAGGTTTGGATTGGTCTGTGTTAGTCGTGCTGGCCATGATCCTTCCCAGGACATCACTAACTTAGAGTTTTTAAATAACTACCAGCATAACATCCATTTAGTAAAAGAGTGGGTTCTAAATGAAATCAGTGCAACGAGCATAAGGTGTGCCTTGCGCAAAGGACAAAGTGTGAAATACTTGTTGCCAGACTCTGTTATTTCTTACATTAAGCAACACAATATATATATGGAAAAGATTGAATGAAATAAATTAAAGAAAATTTGGTGTAGCCCTTTAAAAGTGTTCATGCTGCTTAGTTATCTTTTGATAAGATTGAGTGAGACCAGAGACGAGCAACAAAAAAGCTGCAAAGTATGAGGAATAAAACATATTAGCAGACATTTGACGAAGAGAATATGTACAGCCTGGAAAATAGAAGGGAAAGGAGAAACATTATTGAAACCTTCAAATATATTAAGGGTGTGAATAAGGTTCTAGAAGGAAAAAAATTTAATACAAGTAATCTTAACTTACTACTTAACCATATTTTGCGGAGTATAAGATGCACCGGTGTATAAGACGCAGCTTAGTTTTTGGGGAGGAAAATAGGGGGGGGGAAATCTGCCTACCAGGTTTTCATCTGGCTAGGGTCCTTAGTTTGGTCAGCTTCAGCACATTGGTTTGCTGGTTTTTAATTCCCTGCTTGGGGATAAAAAACAGCTTCTAAGGCACAGCTGAGAGGAAGCAGCAATGAGAAAAGCAGGCAAAGCACGGGGGAAGATTGCTTCACTCGACTAGCACACAGTTAGGGCTGAAAAAAAGCTTCTAAAGAACAGCCGAGAGTCGGAGCAAAGCCTGGAGATCACTTCACTCGCTAGTGCCTGATTAAAGCACAACGGAGAGTCAAGGGAACAGGCAAAGCTGGGAAGGTTGATCACTAGTGCCTCATTAGGGCTGAAAAAAACCTTCGAAAAAGCTACATTTGGAGTATAAGACGCACCAAATTTTCAGCCTCTTTTAGGAGGGAAAAAGGTGCATCTTATACTCTGAAAAATATGGTAAATTGCGCCCAAAATTTCTGTTGATAAGCAAGACAGTTGTTAAATAAGTTTTGCCCCATTTTACAACCTTTGTTACCACAAGTGAATCACTGCAGTTGTTAAGTTAGTAATATGGTTGTCAAATGAATTTGACTTCCCCGTAAACATTGCTTGTCAGAAGTTTACAAAAGTTTATTATATAACCCCAGGACACAGCAACTGAATTGTCAAGCATCTGAATTTTGATCTCATGACCATGGGAATACTGCAATGATCATGAGTGAAAAATGCTCTTAAATCACATTTTTCAGTACTGTTATAACTTCGAACAGTCACTAAACAAACTGTTGTAAGTTGAGGACTACCTGTATTAAGTGAAAATCAAACTTAAATCAAACCTCAAGCTGACAAGAAAAAAGTTCAGAACTAATGTTAGAAAGTATTATTTCACAGAAAGACTGGGGAAGTTTGGAAACAACTTCCAGCAGAGATAGTGGATCAAGTCATCAGTTACTAAGTTTAAACATGCTTGGGATAAATACATGTTTATCATCTTGACAAAAATTTTAAAAATAGAATAAAAAACAAACAGTTAAAATATTAAAAAGAAAGTGAACCCAGACAAACAAACAAAACACTCAAAAGTCAGACTCAATGGACCACTAGGACTTTTTCTGCCATCAGTTTTAGCTCCCAATAATCGGTTTATTTTCTGTGGACAGAAGTGTGTGTGTGTGTATTTGTTCATGCATGTATGTGTGTGAGAGACCTGTTGGAGATAATAATTTGGAAGAAATCCAACTAAATGCAAAATTTGCATACAACAATGTGAACATTTCTAGAGATTGCATTTAAAACTGGATTTCCCCATTCTACATAAACAATCAAGATTCATGACAGATGCTGTTCCTTTAATAAAGTGAATAAATAAAGCCATTTTAATTTCATCTGATTTCATGGTACTAAAACTTGAAAGTATTGGAGTCAGTCATGTGTACACATTGGAAACATCATATTTTTAATGAAGCCTTGACCTAATTGAAATGTAAAGTTATTTAGGAATTTGTTAGTATGAAAAGTATTTTACTTTGTTTTGTTCTGTTTCAATGTTTTTAGTTAACATTTCAGTGTGAATTTTTTTATATGTCTTGAATTATTTCTCTAAACCTTTCATTATACCAAGTGCCATAATGTACTTAATGGATCTATTTTAGTATTAAATTGTCAGCCACTGTCATGTTACAGTAGAAGAAACAATTCTGCTTGTCAACACTGGATTTGTAAGGCTTACCTGATTACATTTATGCCACTGCATCATTCACATTTTCTAAACATTAAAGAAAAAAAGCTACATAGTTTTTGGTTAATTACTTCGTATTATCTACGGGGATTTCACTAGTCCTTCAAATAAATTCAAAGAAAATTAATTCATTTTCAAATATGTAAGTATTTTAACCATGAATTCAAAGTTCAGAAGACATTCATGCTTATTTTTTAATACAGTCTAAGCGAAAAATATAACAAGCTGCTCTATCTTATAGGTCTTCGGGAAACTGATCAAGCAAAATGTTGCCTGAAACTTGAGTATATGCTTTAAGAGTGAAAAATGGGCTCATTAGAACCAATCAAAAAAGTTGATTAGCTGAAGAGCATATTCCAGGGGTGAAATCCAGCAGGTTCTGACAGGTTCTGGAGAACCGGTAGTGGAAATTTTGAGCAGTTTGGAGAACCGGTAGTGGAAATTTTAAGTAGTTCGGAGAACCGGCAAATAACACCTCTGGTTGGCCCCAGAGTGGGGTGGGAATGGAGATTTTGCAATATCCTACCCCTGCCATGCCCACCAAGTTACACGGTGCCCACAGAACCAGTAGTAAAAAAAAAATTGGATTTCACCACTGGCATATTCCCTTTCAATGGTGGAGTCAACAAGCTATGGAGAAATTTGTCTCTTCCTTGATTCTGACTGGTAGCAGCACAAACATTGTCTTAAGTAAGCAGGAACTGGCATTTCTTTTCAAGCAGCAAACATACTTTTTATTGCTTTTTTCCTGTTCTTTCTCATTTGACCTGCTACTTAGCAATAGGAAATCATTCACAGAAACATTTTCAACCCTCTTATTAGGAGGAGACAATATCAGTCAAAATTCTGAAAGATACTTATTTTGCTATACTTTCACAGTCTTCTGATGGCAGAATATAATTCAGGCTTAAAGAAATGTTGATTTCTATACAATTTTATATAAAAAAATATTTTGTATCTAGTTGTTTCTGATAAAACTTTCCTTTCCCCCAGAAATACTTTCAAAATAGCTAGTCTGAGCTTTGCCATTCTCAAATAATATTCCCTTTTTTTTTCTTTTTTTTTTCTTTTTTTTTGAGGGTAAAGAGAAAAAGTAAGTAAGAATATCTGATAAAGGAAGATTACCTTTTCCAGGCAACTTTCAGGTACCCTGTACATACAATATAGGACTTTAGCTATTGAGGCCTGGATTCAGATGGTACATCTTTGAAGCTAATGGGTGCATGTTATTCTGAACATGTTACACCATTTGATGCTACTATTGTATCTCAAGGTTGTCTTAACAAGCATTTCATTTAAAAAGTCATATCAACTCATGGTGTGGATGTGAGTATTAAAACATAATAATTCAAGATTTAAATAAAAGTAATCAGAAATTCAATACACTGTTTTGATAACTGAGCTGAGTCTTGAAGACTTTGGAATGAATACATGAAATTAACGACACATGATTTATCTTGGTATAATTCAGTAGAACTCGGATTATAACATTTTTCAAAGATCTCTTTATTTAGAGGCTTAACAAATATTCCAAATTAACTAATTCAATTAATTTAATCTTGAATTCATGTTACCCTGAAAAGTATTTGTTCTATAATAGGATTGTTAAAATTTCCCTGCTGTATTTCTAAGTGATGAGAAGACTTTACAGTCTAATGTGATTTCCTTCAAGCAACAGCATATTGTTGAATAATGCAGTACAACATGTATTTTTTTCTTCACTTGCTTACTTGCACAGGAGTTAATGGGTTTCTGTGAAGTACTGCTTATTCCTCAGCCTGAAAAGACTTCACATTCTCTTAGCTGAAAACGTGTTCTGATTAATAAAATGCTCACTTCTGCTAGAGATGCTGGGTGTTAGTCCAATAATACAAGGTTGAATGAGTAATGCCTGGCACATTGTCAGCCATCTATTAACTAGCTAGTTAATATCTGCCGTCTTATATCACTAAGGAATTACTTCATTAAGCATGGTTTGTTCAACAAATTTGGTTATTCATAAAAATATAAAATTCCTTTTTAGTGATGTAACATTTTTGCAATTGGAAATCAGTTTTTAAAGACTATAACATTGCATCAGCCTTATTAAATAAAATGCCTTCTCCAAACAGTGGATAGAATTTACCATTATCAGTAACAGCCATCTTTTTTGTTTAGTCATTTGAAAGCAAAAATCTACCATTGTTAAAATCTCTATCCAGATAATCAGTGACCTTACAGCTGTCCTGCAGAAAGGGAGTGACATATTCCATTGAAATCAAACCACCCCACAAGCAAAAATGTTCAGCTTTGTGGAAGAACTTAAAAATAACACTTCAATGCTAATCAGCTTAAAGGAACTAGCTTAGCTGAACGAGCAGATAAAGGAAACTAAGAATTTAAACTTGCTTCTAGAAAAGGGACTGAGCTGGATGGTGAAGAATTAAAACGTTAGAAAAAATCTTTGACTTTTAACTAGAAAGCAAACAGGAGTATGCCTGCAGATTTCAATGGTTATTGGAAAATGCTCAGTAATGAGAATTTTGAGGAGTATTTGAAAGCTCTAGGTAAGATTTTTTCTCCCCACTTTTTCCATTTATTTGAGCCTTAGGATGAATTATACGACTTCACTAGATATGCAATTTGCATGAAAATATTCATAGCAGCTAGTTTCTTTATTAATATTGCTCTTCTGACTAAATAGGAACTGAAGCAATTTTGAAAGTAATAAAATCCATAAAGTACATAATACAAATTGCAATATTTTCAATTTATCCAGATGAATTATCAGAATTTTATTCTAGAATTTTATTTATTCTATATATGGCATAAGGTACAAAGTTTAATGACTTGGAAGGGTGGATTTAAAACTAAGAAGATCCCCCACTCTCCCCAATTTAAACCATAAATTTCCACACAAGAATAAGAAACCAGATTGGGGACAGAAAAATCTTAGCAAAGAGCCAGTTTTCATTGACTTCATCTAGAAATCGTCTGGATTTTTTTCAGCCCAGATCTCGTAATCTTATTTTAAAAGGAAGCATGAATATTAACCTATATTGAATTTTAGATTTAAACAGCAGCACAGTTTTCAGTGTTTCCCCAAATTTTGGATCATTAATTTTATAAAATATTCCAGCCTCTCTTTTTTTCTTCCAGATGTAAATATTGCAGTGAGAAAAATAGCCAGTAGGCTCAAACCTGACAAAGAGATTATTCAGGATGGAAACCATATGATCATTAAAACCCTCAGCACTTTTAAAAACTACATCATGGATTTTGAAATAGGGACAGAATTTGAAGAGGATTTAACAGGGGTGGATGGTCGCAAATGTATGGTAAGATTTAAAATGTTGCTCCTATAAGACTAAATTATGAGCTTAAAAATCCTGCTTCACTATTGTCACTGGTTTTGTGGCAAGACTTTTCTGATAATCCTGCTTTAGTGTTCAGTAACATTTTAGCCAAAAAATTCAATCCAAAATGTATTTTCAAAACAGCTGAAATTTACCATTGTTTTTATATATATATATATATATATATATATATCATTCAACAGTAAGCCATATTAAATGCAATGGACCTTACTTTCAGGTAAATGAGTACAAAGTATACTTTTCATTAAGGCTAGAAACCTACAAATATATTTCTGTGTTGAAATCTTGATGGCATTAAGGATATTTCCATGTAATACTGAACAGCGTTGTAAAAAAAAACTTGGTTTCTCATTTAATTGTTTTTAATAGTTTAACTTTTAATGTTTTATATATGATCTTTAAATGCATTGTAAGCCGCCTTGAGTCTTCGGAGAAAGGCGGCATACAAGTTGAACAAACAAACAAACAAACAAACAAATAAATAGATTGATAAATTGATAAAATTTACAAAGGTGGTTTTTAGGCACATTTTGATAATTTATATAACGCAATACTTAGGTATCTGGTATCTGACTATCCTATAAATATATTTCTGCATGGAAATCTTGATGGCATTAAGATTATATCCATATACAATGAACTGCATTATAAAAAAATACATTTGATTTTTCAAATATGTTCATAAATTTACAAAAATAGTTTCTAGGTATATTTTGCTAGTTATACAAAACAGTCCTTCACTCCTAGGGTATATTTATTCATTTGAATGGGATTTCTGATAGAATAAACTCCTGCTTGTCATAAATTGAGTTGACAGCCACAGGTATTTATTACTTTTCCTTTCACCTTTCACTAATCACTCTAAATAAACCAAGAATGAATGCACATTTTCTTGAAAAGATACTTATATCAGAAACAACATGCTTACTTGAAGTGAACATTTAGGTCATCTTTTGACAGACAAGCAGTATTATGACTTTTGTAAGAAATCATATTAATTAACGGCACAAGTTTGCTAAATCAAAATCTAAAATATGCTGCTCTATTAGTCTCAGACAACCACGAATCAAGGGATTTCCAACTGCAAAAAGCTATTTAGATGGAGAAAAGATTTATAAATGGAAAAGAAAACATTCTGAGTGAGCACTGCTTCATTCTATACTTAAGAAAACAAAAGATTCTCTTATTACAGAAGTTGAAAAGATATGTGTGAATTTTGTTTTGACACTAAGCAATTTCACCTTCTATACACTGGGCTATCAAAACACAATGTGATGTGGAAATGAAATGAGTGACAGGTTATTGGTTTTAAATAGATAATGTGCTAATATTTTCTTTCTAAATAACTTAAAATCTTTTAATCTAAATGTATGAAGAAAAGATACAATGTCTTCCTGAAGATTCTCTCCATAAGTATGGCTGTTTCCATAAAAATAGGAGTTGTCACTAATAAGAAACACCATTCTCTAGAAATGTGTCTTCCAAATTTTCTGATTTATTGGACTAACAAATTGCAAGCGTCTCCCCTTATCTCTGAGATCCCAAAGCAAATTATCTACTTTAATTTCCTGTCCACAATAAGAACTCTATGAGGTAAGTTGGACTAAAAGAAAGCAAGTGTCCAGAAGACATTCAGAGGACTTCCATGGTTGAGGGAGACTCTGAAACAGTCTTCCATAATTTGAATCAGTTATTAACCACTGTATTATACTGGTCGGCCTGACAAATTGTAACTGATTAATTGTAACTCTTTTTTTTCAGCTGTTATACTTGGTTGCCACTTAATTTTCATTCTTACTTTTTACATCTTTCCATTATGGCAGGTTTGTCACAAATGAGTTACTTTGGAATCACTAGAAGAAATGCTCCGTTACAAATGAAATGAAAAAGTGTATGGTCCAATATTCTTTTCTAAAACATGATTGCCAAAAATTGTTGCAATGATATCCAATTATACCAAACAAAACTTGTGCAAAAATACCCCCCCCCCCCGGCAAATATCCTTAGGTAAAAAAGCAGCCAAGAGGCACAAGGTGACCTTGCTTTTTGTTTTACCATTCTCTTCTTCATGGCTCTCTCCTGTCCCTGAAACATTAACGGCTGTCCTTAAGTACCTGACACAGACAGAGATGATACATAGCCATGGGAAGAGAATAGGATTCTTGAAAACTTGGTAAGGAACGTTTTCTTCCTGGCTATAATGTGCAGCAGATGGATTTTAAATATGCATAAACAAAAATGCAATTTGTTTATTGTTACTAATACACGCACCAGGTAAATCATTAAGTATTCTAAATAAATTAAATGACAGTGTGCTTAAAAATTGATCCCTGCCTGTGCTCACACCAACTAAGCACTATAATCTGGCACTTTATCCTTCTCAAGGCTGCACAGTAAGCATTCTACATTTTAAAAGCGCCTGAACGATTAGAATACTGAAAAGCAATTTATGCAAAGAATAAAGAGCAAAGGAAAATGCCATTTACTGAAATGGTTGATTTGAAACTCTTCCACGAACTACATAGCCTTGCATACAATTTTATATCATGCATTTGTCTTATAATTAATTATTTCCTTCACTATTAAATTAGCTTTCTGTACCCCATCTTTCTGAGTATCGATTCTTATCAGTTGACTGCAGCTTAGCTCCTCCATTGGTTCCTTGCTGACTCAAAAAAAAGTAATTTTCAAGTTTAAAATTGTATTCTACAAGGCTAAAAAATTGCCCTTTTGTCCTAAGCTTGGAAAATTCAATAAGCATCTATGCTGCTGACAGTAACGTGTACAATGCATTATATATGTTTTGTATTTTCCTTAATTTTTGTGTAATTTGCAAGTATTGGGCAATACTGAAATAACCAAATCTGCCGTTTTATTCAAAAATATCTGCCAGTTTTTCACTCCATTTTCAGATATACATTGTAAACATTTTCCAGAATAGAACACAGCTCAAAATTAAATAATAAAGCAAATCAGTAAATATAATGAAACAATATACTTTCCCACATCTTGCTCTTTTGCTAAGTAGATATATTGCTGTAAACATGAATGATGACTGTATCCTAGAATCTGCCTCTTGTGAATTCATCACTGGTATTTTCTATAAAGTTTTAGAGGTGAAAATTGACTGTGCTGTCTGTTTCCAGAATCTTTAAATCTGCCTCAGGCCTATATGCCTTGATTGAGGATGTAGGAAAAATTGTGTCATAACACAAGGAAATATAAAATAATTGTTTCAATGCCAGTTCCTCCAATCTTGTTGCAGTTCAGATTATAATCTAGTCCTGCACACAAATTACACTTGATTTTAGCCAAAAGGCCGAGAAGTAATATCTAAGTCCTTTTGGTTTTTAACTGCTTATAGGGGAAAGACATATTATTTCAGAATTGCAACTCATTGAGTTTTATTTACTCTATTATTGAATACAGGACTCATTTATTCATATAGCACTAGCACTTAGACTTATATAGTGCTTCACAGTGCTTTACAGCCCTCTCTAAGCCGTTTAGAGAGTCAGCATATTGCCCCCAACAATTTGGGTCCTCATTTTGCTGATGTTGGAAGGATGGAAGGCTGAGTCAACCTTGAGCCTGATGATATTCAAACTGCCAAATACAGATACTCAAACAGCAGGCAGCTGGCAGTCAGCAGAAGTAACCTGCAGTACTGCATTCTAACCACTGCGCCACTGTGGCTCTATATAACATCCAAATTAATTAAATGTAATAAATGAACAACTGGCCTGCTCCGCCCATGAGCAGAGGAGGCATGCTGTGGGCCCTGTCAGTCAAGGAACCTAGCTGCAGAGTCCAAGTGAAAAACCTTCTCTGCTGTGGCTACTACCCTTTGGAATATCTTACTTCCTGAGCTGAGATTGGCTCCTTTCTGTTCTTCCGCAGGAGCCTAAGAACTGGCTCCCCTAGATGGTTTGGGGTAGTGGTGGAATTCAAATTTTTTACTACTAGTTCTGTGGGCATGGCTTGGTGGGCGTGTTGTTGCTTGGTGGGCATGGCAGGGGAAGGATACTGCAAAATCTCCATTCCCACCTCACTCTAGGGGAAGGATATTGCAAAATCTCGTTCCCACCCAACTCTAGGGGAAGGATATTGCAAAATCACCATTCCCACCCACTCTGGGGCCAGCCAGACATGGTATTTGCCGGTTCTCCAAACTACTCAAAATTTCCATTACTGGTTCTCCAGAACTTGTCAGAACCTGCTAAATTTCACCCCTGGTTTGGGGCTCTAATGGGAACATCATACTGGAGATGGCTTTGAATTAACTGTGCATCCTGTTCTTTCCCTCCCCTTCTTTTAACTATGATTTTATCTTGACTGGGATTGCTATTTGTATTGTTTTAGATATATTTATTTGTTAGATCTTTGAGGTTTTATTGCTGTAAGCCACCCAGACTCATTTTGTTATGAGATGGGCAGCAAGTTTTATTTATTTAATAAATAAATAAAACTTGACTCAAATGCACTTACTAGGTTATGTTAACATAAAGACTGGAAATATTTTCTAGTTATATTATTAAATATAGGTCATGTAATTGCAAGATTGTTGGGGTTTTTTTAGATTATAAGAACTTCAGTTGATTTTGGGGTGAAAATTGAATACAAAAGAAGAATCAAAACACTGATAATCTTGTATTGAAGCAAATACTGTTCATCAATTGCTAGAAGAATTAACAGTGAAACGAATTCTCATATTTAGAGGCAGTCAATCATTGATGGCTAGATATTTATGTTCAGCTCCTCAACTGAAGTGGCTTTTTAATTTTATAGTAGAGATATTTGTTTCATATAGCCAGTTCAATTGTTATTGGATCAAATCTCTGTATTAAATTGACTTTCCAAATAAACTGAATTTATTTAACAATTTGATGGCCTGCTACATAGGCATCAATCCCTTATCAAATTAGGGAAGCAAATTCCCTCAGTTTTCCAATCAGATTTGA